CTACTACTCCTACTACTACTTCTGCTGCTACTAGAACATCGACTGTAGTATGAATCACGGACAGCGCCATGAAAAATGGTGGTGATGATGTCAGCATATCAGGCCCGAGGAGCGGACCCAGGTAAGCAGCACTCTGGGAAGTTCTGCATCTTCACGCTCGCCGGTCCACGTGAACCGCAACGGCTTCGGGTCGTGGGGAGGGGGGAGGTGTGGCTGGTATCGTGTAGATGCAGGACGAGGCGAACAGAGATTCGTAGCTTCGTGTGCTGCTGTGGTGTCTCTCTGAGTCTCTCTGATGATAAATCCCTTGTTGAGTGAGTCACCGCACTCGCGAACTGGAGCAAGCCCCAAATGAATCAATTCAGATTCAGCAGTTTGTGATGTTAGATTCCCGACGACCTGTTCCGGAACAATGCCTTGAACCTATAACATCAATGTACTTGACCCTGTCTTTCATGCGAAGCAGCATGGGTAAGAAATCATGTGGTCAGAAAGGATTCCCTCTTGAGCCAGTTGTAACATGGTGTCTTCACGTCCATGGTTTAGGACCTGGGGTCTGCATGGACGCTGTCTTCGCAGCCCACTCTGAACTAACACAAGCACCCAACGATCCCTATCTCCGGCTGAGCAATGCGGCCAACCTTTTGTCCATGAGCTGCATTCGACAGAGCGCGGAGGTAGCCGGTAGCCTGCGTACGCGCATGAGACTCTAAACTGTCTGTCTGGAATGCAGCTCGACACTCACCACGCGAAGAGTCGGCGGAGGAGCCGCACTTCTTCCCCGTTCCGAGACCCTGCCTCCTTCGAACGCTCGATCTGCCTGGAGTCACATGGCTACGCAGGATGTAGCAAACCGTGAGTTTGGGCACCTGCACCAAGGAACCTAACCGGCGACAGACTGCAGGTGAGGTACAGGTATCGTTTGCCTTTCTGCAGGGTGGTTGTTGTCCTCGTGGTAGATGCTACTGATGATACACTAACATTTCCTACTGATACACCAAGGCCTTCAGGAAATTGTGTGGGCTACAATGCTGTAGCCCAATACTAGCAAGTGGATCGAGGGCTCGTGTGGGCATGTACGGATTAGAGGCCACAAGCAAAGGACGGGCGATTGCCAGATTTCCTGCTTCAGTAGACCCTACCCGACTATGTTGAAGATCCCGCAGCTGTATGCCAGCAACCTCGACACAGAGAGTACACCGGCATAACAACACTGCAGCTCAAACCTCTTTGGTGCCGCGGGGGTGATCTCCAGCCCCTTCAGATTGGAACTCCCCTCAGGGGAGCTGTCAGACGACCATAGAGGGCCCCGAGAGAGCAAGACTGTTCTAATGTGAGTGATTTGGCAATGGTGCGTTTGCACTCACCGGCCAAATTCGCAGCTCCTGAGTGCAAGTTTCCCGGCGCTAGCTCGGGCAGGGATACTCTGAATTAAAGACTCACAGCAGGCGTATTCTTGCCCATGGTCTGGCCCGACAAACAGCTGGGGCAGGGTTGCTCTTGCGACAGCTCTCCTCCCAATTTGCGACAGCTCTCCTCCCAATTTCGGCTGAACAGCATCTCGCGTAAGGCTCGTACATGCTTATAAGTCTTCCTGTTGTGAGCTGTCTCTAAGAACACTGATGAATGTGGAAGCTATAGGCTCGAGTCGGGAAGATTCGGTGAGCTGATGTCGTCTCTACAACTTCAGGCACTGCTGGAGCCCACTCTAAGCGACGATTGACGAAGTTGTCGACCCGACTCTAGCCCAGCCTCAGCAAGCTTCACGCTGCGTCTGTGGATTTTGGCCCAATTACTGCCAGTTCACTTTCTCCGCGCTCTGTTTTGGAACATCCGGGGCCTCGGAAAGGGGCAAGATGGTCGGAATCGATAGCACCGGGCATGTCGTTACTAGCAGAAGGAGCTTATAAGGGACGTGGACCCCAAATACTGGCTCTTTGCCAGGATGCAGGTGCATGCATGGCGCTGCTGCTTGCGGATTCCTCCTGAACGGGCTGCCTCGGCCCCCGTCGCCGATTGCGATTGGCCCGGTCCTTCGCCCTTGGCTGGGCGTAGGCATAATTAGTATCTCCCCAGGCCCAGTAGTCGCCAGGGCCCCACCAATCGGACCAGCCCTGGTCCCAGTTCCAGGCATCGTCCCACCTTGGCATTCAGAGCCCTCACTAAGGTCATGCAAGCAACACAGCACAGTAGGACGCTGCACACTCAACACAATAGACCGACACCATGAATTGTCCTGCCAAGCCACCACCCTTCTGCGTACCGGCCGTGCTGCTGTTGGTTGAGGCGCTGCTGCCTCCTCCCTTTCTTGCCTTGGCCCTTTCCTTGGCGTTGGCTGGAGCTGGGATGGTTGGGGGCGAGGCTGTTGACGCTGCCGGAACTCGTGCGTCGGCTTTCGCCTCCGGAGCTCTGGTGCAGCTCTGCTTCTAGATCCGCAACATATTTGTAGGGCTGGGATGGAGGGGGCGCTCGGACTTGCTGGTGCACCTGCTCAGCTGTGAGCTGCTGGAGCGGTTGAAGTGCTTTTAGGGTGGCAGTAGGGCAGTTCCCTGCATTTGCTTTCTGGGAGGTGGCTTGGGCTTGGACCTCCTGTTCGGGCAGGGATGGGGGATGTGTCAGCAGTGAGAAGCAGGCTGTCTGGGAGGTGGCTTGGGCTTGGACCTCCTGTTCGGGCCGGGATGGGGGATGTGTCAGCAGCTGCAATTGCTGTGGAAGGGTGGCAGAAGTGGGGCATGCCGAAGGCGGTGGAGGTGCAGGATTGTGTGAGAAGCAGCCTGTCTGGGAGGTGGCAGGCTTGCATGGCACCGGATAAAGTAAGCGCTGCCAAACCGCGTGTGTGATTGCTGGGATCTCGGCGCCATGGGCAGCCATGACGATGTCCTGCGCAAGCAACGGCGCCAAGTACGGCGCGAAAGCGATGACGTCGCACATCATCCGGACGTCGTCAAGAGCCTGATGTTGTTGCAGGTCGGCAGCTCGCTGCTGCTCTGGTACGAAATTCAGGTACATCTGCTGGAGGGCGAGATATCCAGGCTGACCATAGAGTTGCTGCACGTGGCCGTAGCAAAGTCTCCTTTTCCTGAGTTGAGGGCAGAGCAACTCGAGTTCAAAGCAACTCAATGCAAGGTGCTGATCAAGGAGGGTTCACACACCTTCGAGAAACGTTGTTCGGAAGCCAGAAGTGCCACCCCGGCTGCACAAGCATCACGGCCTACTGCTCTGACCTAGTCAGCTGGCACTGATGCGAATCCAGGGGTCGGTAGAGATCTACAATCGTGATAGACACAGAACGCGATGAAAGCTATGCTTGCACATGCAATTTCGCATCTATCTAGCTTTTTAAACTGTCTGGCTGGCTGCCTACCTATCTACCAACCTACCCAACAGCCTGCCCGCACTGCCTGCCCGCCTGATTGACTGACTGACTGACTGACTGACTGACTGACTGACTGACTGACTGACTGACTGACTGACTGATGCTTACTTACTTACTTACTTACTTGCTTGCTTGCTTGCTTGCTTGCTTACTTACTTACTTACTTGCTTACTTACTTACTTACTTAGACATGTGCAGAATTTTAAGATTTCTGTACGGATTACAGACGAGCCCCAGCAAACCAGCACAGTATGAATTATATAGGCATGCATGCAGGTGTATACCATTGTTGATTATCATTATGACACAAACATAACGTCTCCCAGTTACTAGTTATGTGATGCAGTAAGGAGCGATCCTACTTGAAACAACTGGCCAGGCTTCAGGGTGGCTACCGTGTCAGCAGAGACCAGTCGTGGGCAGCAGCGCATGTCAAGATCGAGCCGGCCGATCTCCTTGCTAAGCACATAGTGATCAAAGCGATCGCCGTTGTGTGCGATGAGCACCACTTTGCCTGTGACGCCTGCCGCCCGCTGCAGGAAGGGCACCACTTGGGTCGGCCACAACTGCGCGAAGAGCGGCAGCCCTGCATCGCAAATGATAGCCTTGTGGCCGCTATGCTCAGCAAAGAGTCTTGTAGCTGCGGATTTCACCTCGTTCCAACCGAACTCGGGTCGGCTGCGCAGAAGCAGCGACTCGCCGGTTGCCAGGTTCATCGCAGCCAGCTCGATGATCTGACATCGAGATTTCCAAGCCCACTGGTCCCGGGTTTCATGCCAGTTCATGGCAGCATAGCTACCATGGATGTGGTCATGGATGCACTCCAGGTCCAAAGCCACCAGGCCGAAGCCCAGTTGGCCCGGATCAAGAGTGGGCTCCATGACCGGCAACAGCCTAATCGGAACTCGCCCCGAGACTGAAATAATGCTCTTCAAGGTCTAGAACATGGTCAGATGGAACAACCCGCAAAGGCGCCTAGTTTTCGAAGTGACGCTTGCAAACAGCTGCGTCAAGCCAACAACGTGCGACCCAATGTAGTATGAAATTCGTGGAAAACTTAGTGTGTCTGAGTGAATGTACGATGATTTCGGTCTGGCGGAAGATGGAGCGTGACTATGTTTTTCGCCTCAGTCTCCATAAAAGCTTGGAATCACGCGCTCTGAAATCCGAAGCCCCGAAACGTCGCATGGCCGCTCCGCTGATGCTCCATGACAAAACAGCTGGGCAGCTGGGTGTCTGGCAGTTCCTTGACATCCTTGGTCTCTGCATCGGCCTCTCTGCTGGAAGGTTGGAGTGCAAAGGAAGGATAAAGCAAGAATTATGGAGAACCAATCCAATCAAGGTGGGAGTCCATTGTTCAATAAACAAACCTCTCTATGCGTGTCTGTGCGTAGCTCTCTCTATTGTGTGAGTGTGTGAGGGTTATGCAGTTATGCATCTATCTCCCCGAAGGTTCAGTGGGTGGTTTTGTGTCACATTTTCCCGGCTATCGCGCTTTTGTGCAGGACAGAGCTTTGTAGGCAAGTTGCCTGACATCCGTGTAACTCCGGCGTGCTCAGCCTAGCATACATGATATGTGATGTTGTTACGCCGGGCTCTCGGTCAGTTAGCAGCTGGAAGCACGACTTGGCAGAGTAAACGCACCAGCCCCCAAGGCCAGGCAGAGTCTCTCGGCAGAGTCTCTCGGAGGTTTTGTGCAAGAGGCCGACGTTTATGGTTTAGGGTTTAGGGTTTCGGTTTGGGGTGTAGGGTTTANNTGTAGGGTTTAGGGCTTATGGGGTTTCTTCAGACAAAAACTTCCACGGCTGCCGCATGACAGTACGAGTAGCTGCTTGTTGCCCGATAGAGCTGTGAGGTGGGCCTCGGCTCTGGGGGTATCTGCGGTTAATGTAGGGGCCTTAATAAT